CACTTGGCCACCAGAGCTCAAGCGCTGGCCATGGCGATGGTGTGGGTCGCCATAACAGCCGATGGTCACTCTCCGCTCGAATTAATCGACCGTGGCATCAGAATAAATGCAGAATATTATCGCGAAATATTCTGGAGAGTGTATTAAAGCCTTGGAAACTGCCGAATTTGGTTTTCTCCGATGAGAAAACATTCGTTGTCCAGCAGTTTGTAAATAAACAAAATGATCGAGTTCACTGCCAAAGAAGTCAGCTGAAAATGTGCACTTTTGGTTGGCCACCAGAACTTAAGCGACGGCTATGCTGATGGTGTGGGCAGCCATAACATCCGATGGTCACTCTCCGCTCGAATTAATCGACCGTGGCATCAGAATAAATGCAGAATATTATCGCGAAATATTCTGAAGAGTGTATTAAAGCCTTGGAAACTGCCGAATTTGGTTTTCTCCGATGAGAAAACATTCGTTGTCCAGCAGTTTGTAAATAAACAAAATGATCGAGTTCACTGCCAAAGAAGTCAGCTGAAAATGTGCACTTTTGGTTGGCCACCAGAACTTAAGCGACGGCTATGCTGATGGTGTGGGCAGCCATAACATCCGATGGTCACTCTCCGCTCGAATTAATCGACCGTGGCATCAGAATAAATGCAGAATATTATCGCGAAATATTCTGAAGAGTGTATTAAAGCCTTGGAAACTGCCGAATTTGGTTTTCTCCGATGAGAAAACATTCGTTGTCCAGCAGTTTGTAAATAAACAAAATGATCGAGTTCACTGCCAAAGAAGTCAGCTGAAAATGTGCACCTTTGGTTGACCACCAGAACTTAAGCGACGACGCAGAGCAACATTCGGGCAGCGTATGAAGGCCATAATTCGTGCCAAAGGTCAAATATTGGCTGTTTGAAGAAGGTGAATATTGCTATATTGTACGATGAATTCTTAATACTCATTCTTACATTTTTATGTAACAGTCCTATAAGTATCTGCAATTATTTTTGTGTTTCTTATAAAAAGAAATTCTCCATCCCAGAGTGCTTCTCGATTAATTATATTCATTTGTTTGTTTGTGTTTTGTATAAACCTGCTAATTTTTCCCAGCTGAACTGGCACGCTGTGACTACCAGAAGCATGCTATAATAATAATATAATTTATAAACATAAGTACTTAATATTCTTCGATTCTAGTTAATGACGTAACATGCGGGAAAATAAAATTACGTATCTGTGTGTTTACTTATTTTTTACAAACAAAAAATATAACACGATATCTTTAAGTTAAATGTATGTGTATGCGAATTAAGGTAATATTTTCGAATGATCAACAACTCATGTCTGCAAATAAATATTAATGAAAATCAATAAATTATTATAAAAATTGTGTACCATTTAAAAAGAATGAAACTTATGGAATGTAAAGTGGCACTTATTATGTACAGAATGTAAATAATACTGTACTTCCCCGATTCTGTAATCGAAGTATAGCAGAATGGTTATTTCTAATAACAGGAACTGATTAGCTCGCCCAAATTACCTAATTTTAATGAACTTTTACGTTAACATTTATCCTAGAACCAATGTTTGGACCACTGTCAAATGTGAAAATATGTGTTGTTCAAAGGTTGCTTGCACCCATGGGACATATTAGAACTTTTTTCGGTAGGAGCTTGAAAATTTTCAAATAAAAAAAAATTTCAAATAAAAATCGAAAAATACCGCTCAAATGAAAACCTTTATATAAGGGCTATAAAGAGGTCCTGCCTAAGTAATTTTTTTGTCATAAGCTGTAGTAACTATTCCGAACTTCAAATACGAAATTTGAAACAATTCCGGTGAATAATGTCGCCAATATCATCAAAATACCAAATATCGGGAGGTATAGTTATATGGGTGCTATAGGAAGACGTGAATCTGCATAGAAAATTTTTCGACATAGGTTGAACTACCCATTACGAACTTCAAATACGAAATTTGAAATAATTGCGGTGGATAATGTCGCTAAAATCATGAAAATACCGAATATCTGGGGTAACGCTATATGGGTGTTATACTAAAACGTGAACCTATTTAGACAATTCTCTCCAGAGGGAAAAGTACTCAGAAGGAACTCCTTGCGTATATTTTCAGACAATTCCATTGAAAAAATTTGGCTACAATTATCAAAATACGGAATATCGGGAGGTATAAGATAAAGTGGACCTATAAAGACAATTCTCTTCCAGGGGGTAAAGTAGTCACGAACTCGTTGTTTAGAATTTCAGACAATTCCATTGAAAAATGTGGTTAAAATCATCAAAATACCGAATATCGGTGGTACCGTTATATTGGGGATAGACTGATATAGCCCATCTTCGAACATGATCTGCTTGCAGACAAAAGACAGATCGGTGCAAAATTTTAGGTTCCTATCTTTATTCGTTTTGACTCTAGCGTGATTACAACAGACGGACCGACGGGACAGGGCTGAATTTTATCTTAGAATTTTACGCTGATCAAGAATATATATACTTTGTTTGGTATACAATTATTCTTTCGATGAGTTACAAACCGAATAACAAACTTAATATAACCTCCTTACTATGTAAGATACAAAAATCAGTGTTGTATTCTTAAATATTTCGATTTTATATTGAATATAAAATAAATACTAAAGAAAATCTTGAATGTTTTTCAAAAAATTTTCCAATAAAGTGAGTTTTTTTTACGTGCCTCATCGAAATAACGGGTTTAGACCCTAGGTCTCTTTGGATCAAATCCGTTTCAGAACAATTGGAGTCGATCTAGCGATGCCCGTCCTTCCTGCACAGAAAGAGAAAGGTTAATTCGATTTTGCTCCAACTTTGCCAATCCCAATATTTGCATAAGTCCTAGGTCAGGTGCGAAAATGGACAGTATTGGTTCACTCCATAAAGTATCCCCCCACAAAAGGTCAACATTTAGAAAAATTATAAGGTTTACAAAATATGACGTATGATCCCGAATGTCTCCAAATTTCACACCTCTCAATATTTTTACTAACCCAGAGTCTAGTGTTAAGATGGAATATGTCGATCCACTCCTTCTTGTACCTCTCCCACAAGGGGTCCAAATATCCGATTCCATTCAGACTTGGCACATCTCAATATTCCATTAACTCAAGATATGTTATAAAGATGGTAGATATTGGACTATTCCTTCTGGTACCTCCCCACAAATGGTCAAAGTTTTGAAAAACTAAAACTATTATAAAATCCGAAATAAGCATCCAGTTCATTTTATATTTTAAACTTTCCATTATTTCTACTAACACAAAATCTGCTGTGAAGGTAGGATATATCGGTCCACTCCTTTTGATAGGGTCAAAATTTTCATTATCCACGAAGCTCATAAAACGACAAATTAATTTGCCTGAGAAGAGAGCCTTTAAAAGTGAATAAATCTTTTGTGTCTCGTACCATCGCTCCACATCGTTATCGTCAAGGAAGTTGACGAAAGAAAACAGCAACATCAGCAGAAATGATTCGAAAAGTAAAGAAGGGACTTGATCGAAACCCGCGTCGCAGTGGCCGAAAAATGGCTCGTGAGCTGAACATATCGCAATATTCCATACGGCAAATATTGAGAAATGTGCTCGGGGTAAAGCCATTGAATTTCCAAAAAGTTCAAGAATTTACACCGCAACGGAAAGAAAATAGACTCAAAAGAGCTAAAGAGTTGCTTCGCTTGGCCGAAAATGGTGAACCATGACCATTGTGATGGTGGTTTTCTCCGATGAGAAAACATTCGTTGTCCAGCAGTTTGTAAACAAACAAAATGATCGTGTTTATTTGCCAAAGAGGTCAGCTGAAAATGTGCACCTTCGGTTGGCAACCAGAACTCAAGCGCCGGCCATGGTGATGGTGTGAGCCGCCATAACAGCCGATGGCCGCTCTCCGCTCGTATTAATCGACCGTGGCATCAGAATAAGTGCCGAATATTATCGCGAAAATATTCTGGAGGGTGTATTAAAGCCTTGGGCACGCAAACATTTTGGCCGCAGACTTTGGACATTCCAACAGGACTCAGCACGCGCCATCCAAGAATGGTAACAAAATGAGGTTCCTCGCTTCATTTCCTCCAAAATCCACCAAAATTTACGGATACCAATCCGTTGGACTATTTTGTCTGGAGTATTTTGGAAAGCAATGTTGGCACTAAAAATACCAAAGTGTCGATCACCTCAAGGCCATAATTCGTGCCAAAGGTGACCAATTCGAACAACTCTAAACTTTTTCTAAAATTTGATGCTATCTCCGACATTTTTTGCTTGCATTCAATAAAATTTAAAAAATGTAAAAATTATGGTGTTTGACTTTATTGCAGTTTTTTATCTCACCCTGTATCTGGGCAATGCTTTATGTCTTAATTTCAAAAGCGAAATCTTCCAAAATTGTTTTAGACATAAGGGGGCTTCTAGCATATTGGTCTGCCCCGCACGACTATAACCTTTGCTTACTTGTTTTATCTGTTTTATCACTATATTTGGTATTTTTCTAATAATTTTAACATATCTCATATAAAGTGAAGGAAGTAACCAATATAGCCCAAACCTGGCTCATCGCAATTTTTATATCATATTTATTTAAATCCGATACGAAATGGTCAATATTGGCCCAACCTACTCCATAGAGGGTAAACAATTTGTATAATCATAACACAAGTCAATATATTTAAATAATCAAACATTGGCTGAGGATTTACATCTCTCGGCAAAACCGTCTGATACGTTTGTCTATAATTCTTTTCAATACCCTTGTCAGTTAATATTTCTTGTACGCATTTCATTTTTTAATTTAAAACTGTTATATTTAATTTCAATTCATCCGTTTCTGCATGGGATGTGCATGGTATCACATCGTTAATTGCCAAAAAAACACATAAACGATGGTAAATGGAAGAAAGACGCCGCCTTCCACAATGGATTTGTTTTACAACATTATTATGCCCATAAAAAACAATTCAATATAATTTTGTAGTTGCATACATACGTTTTAAACACAAAACAAACGTTTATTTAAATTTACTGTAAGAGAACAGCTTTTTATCCCACGTAAGATCGGTAGTTTTGAAAATATTTCCCAATTAGCTACTGGAAATGTGTACTTTGTTTATATTTTTGGTTTTTTTTGCACAGTTTACAAAATGTTCACACATCTCATTTTGAATCATGAATTTTGAGTGCGTTTGGTATGTCGAAATTATCACTTCTATTTAATAATTGTTTGGACAAATATTCAATTATGAAGTCACTTGTGACAAAAGATAACTATTTAACTTATTAGTATTTTTTTTACTTTTTACAAGCTATGCTGGGAATTTTGCCAACGGAACAAGACGACACGAACCACTATCCACTTGGCACGAAATCACGATATCGACTAAACTGAAAATCGACGAGTCACAAGCAGATATACTCTAAGCCAGGCAAAGAGTTCAGAATAAATTGGTACACAGTTGAAGGGTATAGATGTGGTGGTGGTAGTGATGATGCCAGGTTCGCTAGGTTCGTAGTTACGGGCGTTCCGATGCACCGGAGGTGGAAATGTTAAGAAGGTTTTTAATATATGTTAATGTTGTTGTTTGTCAGTTATTTAAAAATTTATTACACATGAAAAGAGTTATTACATACAACGTACATATATGTTTGTACGCATGTGTTTCGCTTTTCATGACAATGATTTCGGAAATAAATTAACCTTCAAATGGATAAATTTTGCACAAATTCGACTAATGTCTGCGAGTATTCTGGGTTTAAAATTGGGACAAGTAAGTTGGGCCGCGTTTTCAGCTGGTTCTCATTGGACGTGAAACCACCCTAAATATTTGGTCTTTTTTCAAGTGTTGTATCTAATTGAATGTTTTGAAGGCCTTTGTCACAGTTGTAAAATCATATCTTTGAACAAGAAACTTTAATAATATTGTTTTGTTTTTGTCGTTTTCATCATTTGAAAATTACATAAATAGCTAAAACGATATTGTCCCGTTATATTAAATAATCGTACAATTTCTTATGCAAACAATAGGTGTGTCTGGTTACCCCAAAATTTGTAACAATTGTTACAAATTGTTACTGGAAGTCGTCTGTTAACTCGAAAGTTCTGCAAAAGAGAGCGGTAGGAGAGAGAAATTTTGACAGTTCTTTCAGTGAGAGTTTGCAAATTCTTGCTGGACAAATTTCTTCCTGCAATCACTTGCAACTCTTCTTCTTCTCATTTATCGACATTCAATCAGATGTTTTCTATTGTTTGTTTATTTATTTTTGTGCTTTTAATTTGAAGATATTCTTTTGGAATGTGAAAGACTAATTGTTTTTGGAGAACAGCTTTAAAAAATGTGGAAAACGTAAATATTAATATGTAATAAGGAAACAAAAGACTATTTCCAACATTTTTATTTAAAAAACTTGTAAAATTAGTATTGCTTCCTTTGTTTTAATTCTCCTTATGGGGGACAAATTGGTTTGTTTTGACAAATCAGCTGATTAGTTGCAAGCTTCTGCAGGAATACCGTCTGTTTACTTTTCGCATTTTCCTTGCAAAAGAGAATAAAACTACCTTTTCTCTCAGAAAGAAGTTGCTGGACAATTCCTGCTGGAAAAGTAACCAGACACACCTAATTTTTACAAATAGAGAATATATAGAATAAATACTTTTAAAATTTTTATACCGATATATGCAGGGTGATTTAAAAAAACTGCAACAAAGTCCATCGTCATAAGTTTTACATTTTTTTTAAATGTTATTCAATGAAAGCAAAAAATGTCGGAAATATCATCAAATTTTAGAATAAGTTTAGATTTGTTCGAATTGGTCACCTTTGGCACGAATTATGGCCTTTAAACGGCCAATGAAACCGTCACACGGTGCCCGAATATTGCTCTGCTGTATTTTGGCCCATTCCTAGCGAAGCGTTTGCTTGAGGTGATCGACACTTTGGTGTTTTTTAGTGCCAACCTTGCTTTTCAAAATTCTCCGGACACAATAGTCCAACGGATTGGTATCCGGAGATTTTGGTGGCCATTGTGCGCTGGAAATAAAGTGAGGAACCTCATTTTGTAACCATTCTTGGTTGACGCGTGGTGAGTGCGATGGTGCTGAGTCCTGTTGGAATGTCCAAGGTATGCAGCCAAAATTTTTGCGTGCCCAAGGCTTTAATACACCCTCCAGAATATTTTCGCGATAATATTCGGCATTTATTCTGATGCCACTGTCGATTAATACGAGCGGAGAGCGACCATCGGTTGTTATGGCGGCCCACACCATGACTATGGCCGGCGCTTGAGTTCTGGTGGCCAACCGAATGTGCACATTTTCAGCTGACCTCTTTGGCAAGTAAACACGATCATTTTGTTAACAACGAATGTTTTCTCATCGGAGAAACCCAAATTCGGCAGTACACCCTTTCGGCCTAGCGAAGCAACTCTTTAGCTCTTTTGAGTCTATTTTCTTTTTGTTGCGGTATAAGTTCTTGCACTTTTTGGGATTTTAATGGCTCGGGGTAAGCTCATTTTTTAATATTTGCCGAATGAAATATTGCGATATGTTCAGCTCACGAGCCAATTTTCGGCCACTGCGAAGCGGGTTTCGATCAAGTCGTTTACTTACTTCTCGAACCATTTCTGCTGATGTTGCTGTTTTCTTCCGTCCACTTCCTTGACGTCGGGCTACGCTACGCTACGCTATCACGGTAACCAGCGATGGTACGAGGCACAAAAGATTTATTTACATTTAAATGCTGGAGTGCTCTAACGATAGCCACTTGTGGTTTTCCAGCCAAATATAAAGAAATCACACTTGAATTCAATCACGAATAACTATTTTTCTGGAAAATTCTCACCAAAATGCGTTTGTACACTTGTAAACAATATAATGAGCTGTCACTGAAATAATTTTAACAACTGTCGGACGAGTGGCTTACAAATGACAACAGTCTGAAGGTGGTTGCAATTTTTGCATCTCACCCTGTACATATCTATAGAATTTATGATTGTTAAAGCAATCGGGGTCTTTTTCAAGGTTTATGCATATTAATGGTCAGGATGTGAATTATGTCACCCTGAATTCCTTTGTTGTTTTGCATTACATTAGAAGAATGCCACATGACAATTATTCAATTTCTTCTTCATCACTTGATCTTCCAGCAAAACATCGAGAAAATATCAAGCTTTGCTCTGGAGAACACTTTGACGAGGTTAACGTTATGCACTTTGACAATATACCCTAAAAATAGCAAAGGCAGCCAACCACATTGAAAAATAATGAATTAATCAAGTTTCCACCAGAGTTTATGGAATTAATAAGAGAATTACATTTGCAAATATGTATGTATTGAAAAATATTATTGAGTACCCAATTACCATTTTATAAGATTAAAGTTACATCTTATTGCAAGTTGACACATCTATGGAAAGTTTTCGTTTAGGGGAATTTTTTTCACAGAGTAGGTGGTGCGTGCTTGAATTTGTAAACGTTGCGGTTAGCTGATTTTAATAAGAATTCTGTTGTGTAATAAAAATAACCACAATCAATTACACATACAATACATCTATTAGTTTTTATTTTTGTTTACAGGTGTTAAATGGTTATAAATTAAATAACAAATTAGTTTGGCTTCCAGATGTGTAATTAAAGACACGAATTGTTGAGCTTAAGATGTACTCTTGAACTGAATGCTGCAACTGAAACTAACTAAATAAAGGTTTGTCTCCATGCATGTGTTTTTAAAATTCTGTAACAGCCAATTTCTTATCGTTTTTTTTCCTGTCGCTCTCTTTTTACTGTGACCTACCGACAGAATCAATATTGTTAATTCTACCATTAGCCATATGGCTAGAGATGGTATGCATGATTTGATACGGCCAAACGTGCCTTATCGAAATAACGGTTTTAGACTGTAGGTCTCTTTGGACCAAATCAGTTTCAGGACATTTGCAGTCGATCCAGCGATGTCCGTCTGTCTGGCTGGTGCGCGCGATTTCTCTCGAAGGGATTATCCGATTCGATCCAAACTTGTTAAATCGTTATATTATTGTCAAACTTAGATCGAGTTCGGAGATGAGCAATATCGGTCCACCCCTTCTGGAACTTAACCCACAAAATATCAATATATTCAAAGAAAATTATTTACTGCACATAAAGGGAAAAGATAATCCGATTTTGCTCCAACTTTGAAAAGTCTAATATTTACATCAGTGCTAGGTCAGGTGCGAAAAATGTGATGTAAGTCTCCGATTATCCTTAAATAACACACATCATAATATTTTTATCAACCCAAGGTCTGGTGTGAAGATGACATATATCGGTGCGGTTCTCTTCAAATTACACACATCACAATATTTTTATTAACATAAGGTGTGGTATGAAGATGGAATATATCGGCCCACTCCTTCTAGTACCTCCACACAAAGGGTCAACATTTTGAGTATGAAACTCATAACACTCAAAAATGCAGATTTAGTACATCTCAATATTTCCATTCAACTCTCTTCAAATTTCACACATACAAACATTTTTACTAACACTAGATCTATTGTGACGATGATATGTATCTGCGAACCCCTTCTGATACCTCATCCACAAAGGGTCAAAATTTTCAATTTTTTTTTTATCTGTCACAACTTGGGAAATAAGCATTTCTTTACAACTTGCTATATCTAAATATTTATCTCAACCAGAATTCTGAGATGAAAATGTAATTTATGATTTCGCATAAAATTTGATATATTTGGTACATACCAATATTTTTTATCTGTATTAGTTGGAGTATGAAAATGGAATACTTCGGTCGACTATATCTGAAAGATTATCACATATCTCTTATAAAGTGAAGGAAGTAACCAAAATAGTCCAAACCTGGCACGTCGCAATATTTTTATCATATTTATTTAGGTTCGATGCAATATTGGCCAATTCCTTCGGAACCTACTCCATAGAGGGTCAAAAATTTGAATAATCAAAACAGAAGTCAAAATATATTTAAATAATCGAACATTGATTGAGGGTATACATCTGTCGGCAAAAACGATTGTTACTTTTTTTTTACTTGTTTTTGTTTAACTTTTCACGCGAAAATATTGCGATTGAAAGGTACTCATTTTTTGTCGGTAACACTCTTGCATATATTGAAGGGCATGTTAGGTTTGTAACTCATCGAAATAATCATTTAAGACCCAGCAAAGTATATATATTCCTGATCAGAGCAATATTCTAAGTCGATTTAGCCACGTCCGTCTGTTTGTTGTAATCATGTTAGAGTTCAAATGGCCACACATAGAACAATTTCTAT